TAAGTCGTCATTTTACGTCAGCAACGGAGAATTTAAGGTTTGTGGAACCCGGGTATGCAAGCCGTGGTTGGCGTCCCTGTGGTGTGGCGCTCTAAAGGCCCACGTGGGGGCAGATTCTGCGTACAGGCTGTAAAGGTGTTCACAGACACAGAAACCAGCGTCTGCTCTGAAGCTGCTGTGATGACTGATTATTAACCAGATGTGTTTAATGAATAATCAGCTCACAATAAAATAGGAGCTGGCCGGCGTCGCGGGTGGATGTGCTGCTCCGTCTGCAGCTGATGAATGGAGAACATTGTGATTTATTAAAAGCTCCTGACGTGAAATTATCACCGCGAGCAGCTTCCAGATCAGCTGACTGTTTCCTGTTAGTCTGGAGGGATTTTAAAGCCCTGCTGCTCGTTCATGAAGGACTCTGTGGGTTATTTCCACTGCTGCTCAGTCGTGACCATCCAGACCTCGGAGGTGGTCTGAGACGGGTCCGATTACGGCCCCCTGAGTCCTGAGAACACCTGGAGAAGCAGCTCCAGGCTCGAGCTCAGGAAATCAGAAAGAAGAGTCAATAAATCTGCAAACTCTCAGTTTTATTACAGAAGCGCTGGTGCTTACTTCACTCCCTTAACGTGCTTTAAATGCATGTTCACTGAAAGCAGCTCTGTTGGATGAGTCATGTGGCTTTCCGGTGGTTGAGCGCAGAAAACCCTCAGAAACTGATTAGCAGCATCTGAAGCGCCGTGACGAGGCGCCGTGACCTCGCTGGTTTGTGGTCTGAGGTGAACTTCTCTCTTCTCAAACAGCTGTGTGCAGCTGTGGACACAAACAAACACGTTACCTCTGTTTATTTTTAGCTTTTATGCATCTCTCTCTCTGGGCTCAGACTGGCCCCGCCCCCTCTGCGAGCGTGCTCAGTGGAGCGTCCCTATGAAAGAGTCCTTTCAAGCTGCAGATCTGCGAGTGGAAACGGACTGAGACTTGAAACGCACAGCTCCGTCCTGAGACGCTTCCTCGTGCCACCTTCAGGCTCTCAACAATCACTCCATTCTGCTCCCGCCTCCGACGCCGCTGGTTCCTGCGTCCGTCGTCACCACCAAGCTTTCATTTCATCCAGAAATGATGGCGGCTATCAAAAACAGGACAAACTAACCAAATATTTTCTTCTAGAGATCGAAGAAAAACTCCAGTTTAATCATTGAGCTTTGATGGCGAAGGCCTTTAAGTCGCGAGGCTCCACGTCATGCTGAAGGTTACAGCTGATGGTGGGAGCCCGCCCCAGCTGTCAGGGGGCAGGAGGGGGGGTAGATCCTGCACAGCTATGGAGCTGGGTTTTGTCCAACTTTTAATCTAATTTCCGGCTTTATAGAGTTAAAGAGAGGACTTTGCACATCATCAGTCATACAGAGAAGTTCCTGAATCTTAAATCAGCGCTGAAAAGATTTCCAGACAAACTCCTGCATGAGCTCATCAGACGCTGAGCTCCAAGGATCGGCCTGGAAGATTTGCAGCACTAAATCTTTCTGTTTGCAAAAACGTACGAGTGGAAAAATCTCAGTGCAATCAAAGCCTGCGATGATCAAATAAAAGCATATATACTCAACACACCCAGCAGCCGATCCCTTTGGAACTGTGACGGGGGGCGGGGCGAGCAGGAAACCACCAGGACTGTCACACAATCTACTTCCAACCAATCAGTCGGTGTCATTCACCGAACCATGAAAACACACTTTGGCTTATGAAACACATGAAATGGCCCCAGAGGAGCTTAGCATCCTGTGCTAACGGCATCACGGGCCGGGTTCAGCGAGTCGTCCCGAACGCAACTCGACACGGGCCGAGGGAGAGGAGCGAGGCCGCATCTCACCCCGCCTTTGTGTGAATTTCACGAAAGGAGCTTCCTTTAATTTCACTAAGAGGGTGGAGGTAGGAGGCGGGCCGGGCGGGGGCGCCGGGGGCGCCCGCAGACGCTCTGCAGAAGCTCATGAAACATTGATGAGGCGGCCGAGGTGTTTTCTTTCTCTTTAGAGACACAGAGAGGGAGGGACGCGGCGAGCTCGGATCATGTTAGACACCCTCCCCACACCACCCACCCCCTCTAATCCCCCCCCTCCACCACCGCGCAGAGCTCAAGGAATCCCAAACCACCGAGATGTGTGCTGATTGGCTGACTCAGGACCACGGAGGAGGGGAGGGGGATGATGAGAGCACAGAGGGATGGTGGTTTTGTTTTTGTGAGCAGAGCGCGTCCGAGGGATTTGGCGTTTCAGGAGATGGCGGGTTTTTACAGCGCTACAGTAACCGCTCTGCCTCAGCCTCCGTTTGTTCTACATTCATGTTAGAGTCCCGGCGTGAACCACAGCGTGCGCCGCGCACGGCCGCTGGAGCACAACAAAGGACCCGACTCCTTCTGGGTCATTTATTCATCCACACATGCAAACATCAATTACAAACCACGTCTTGTTCAGTTCCCAACAGAAATAAACTCAACCGGACCGGAAACATCAGCGACCAGCATCCATCCACTCAGCATCGCTCTTATTTCCACTGAGCTGGTTTTAAAATGAAGCTCAGGCCACCTGAGACAGACGACCTCCAGGTTTTGGTGGTTTTACAGGGCGGTGGCTCCGCTGTGCTCACTGGACGATCAGGCTCTGTTGATAAGTGACTGCTAACAAAGTTTTGCTAATGTAAATAAAAAACCATTTCCTGTTACCACTCCATCTTTTTATCACACCTTTATCTCTGCACTCTGTCCCGTCATCACGTCTTCTTTGCATCCATCCATCTAAATTCAGTGCAGTTACATATTCATGTATTTATTGATCTTCCCTCTCAGGGAGGGAAATGCAGTCCAGACTCTGATCCCTAAATTTGATTTAGAAACGTCAGGAGGCAGCCGCGGGGTCACGGAGAAGCCGTGTCACATCTGCAGGCCTGGTTCAGGCGTCTTATTAGGATCATTTTTCTTTCTTTGAATGAAATCTTTATAAAATGATGACGTCTGCTCTCCTGAGCCGTTTCAACATCAGCCAGCATCTGTACCAACATGAGTCTGTGCAGCAGGCCGACTCGCTTCCCCCCATGATTATTCTCTTAACTGGAGCAAACATGGCTGACTGCCTCCACGCTCATAACCCGCTGGGAACCGAACCACCTGAGCCCCACACGGGACAGCACATGAATTTAGAGCCTCGAATGCCTTCATAAGCACGAGCTAACAAACCCCTCTGAGGGTCGACGTCCTCATGGACTGATTGATGTTTCATCACAGCCCACATTTAGATTCTTCCTCTGCTCTAACAGAACATGCCGCGCAACACTTAAGATAAAACACATCTGATAAGTTCACGTCTGAATGATTTGGTTCTGTGAGCAGGTCAAAAACAGGATAAAGGTCAGCCCTGGTAGGCGGAGCCAGATGAATGACATAAACCAGCATTAACACGCTCACGTAAACATCGAGTGTGACAGATCCCAACATATCAACTCGGTAAGAAGTCATGAAGCAGCCTCTGAACTAAACTTGGACACACGGCACACGCGTGTGCATCAGTAACGCGTGTTACAGCAGGAATCTCAGGACTGAAGAAACCAGGCTTTCAAAGCAGAGTACAGTCTGTGCTCGAGTGCAGACGTTTTCACATTCGGTCAAATTCTTACGACAGAACATCACAAAGACTCAGTGACCTCAGCGTGACCCCCCCCAACAAAGAAAAAACAGCCAGGAAGCTACTTTCAGACACTCTGGAGGTTTGTGGGCGTCAGCGGGTCGATGAGGCTCCATTAGCCTTCTGCTAAATTCAGCCTGCTGCTAATTTTTAACTGAAGTGTTTGTGCGTGCAAGGACGATTCGATTTTAACGGCTCATATCGATACGAGCGTCCATCGATGAGTCGGGAGGTTAAATGTGTTTACACGCCTGAGCGCCGCTGCTCTCCTTCAGCAACAGAAGACACGCCACTCGCGCTTCCACGCAGGAACGTTTTCCACTCCTGAGTGATTTCTGTCTGACGCATCAGAGAGAAACTTGGGGTTCAGCATCTCGCTCGAGGATACTTTCCTGTGCGGACTGGAGCGGTCTGGGATTGAACCACCAACCGCCCGACATAGCCACCCCACTTCCTACCAACATTCCCGGGTAGAGCCTGTGCTCAGAGCATGTAAGCAGCTCCATCGTACAAACCAAACCAAGCCTTCAGTGTAAACGTGTGGCAGAAAGTTTCCTGCTGCCTGCTGAAAAACACCGACACAGCTCACACACATGCAAGCAAACACAACTACACGGTTTGGTTTCTGGAGCCGACGTACGTCAGCCTGAGATACAGGAGGCTTATTTCCAGCTGCGGATCATGCAAAGCTGCTCCAGTCGAGCTGGAAATAAGCAGAGCGGAACAAAGAAGAAAAACTTCAGCTGTTGGTTTCATTTAGCGATGTCATCGCTGCATCGATTAATAACGGGCACATTCCTGAGCTTTAAGTCAGGAGAGACAAACGGCACGTGTGTCGGGAGGCCAGCATCCTGCTGAGGAGCTCCAGCCTGATTACTTCACAGCTACGTGAAAAAATGTGGGTGTGGGAGCGCCTCCCTGCCTCCCCCGCACCGCTCCTCGGCGAGCGGGTCACCGTCAGCCCGTCAGTTGTGATCAGTGTGTGAACGTGAGGCGCGGTTTATTTGCAGAGGTAAGGTCAAGCTGCTGACTCATCCACAGCCAGCTCTGATTTCATTATAAGGTGATAATGATTAATAAAGTCAGGGCGACACCTGCACGCCTCAGCCACCATCCCAGCGCGACCGCACTCCTCTTTACTTCCTTTTACTTTCTCTGGAGCTCTGCTGCTGCTCTGAAAGCCTCCTACGGCTCCTTCTACTGTTTCAACCCTTCAAGTGTGCAAATGCAAACAAACTGCAGCCCACAGCATTAAAGGAAACCCTAAACCCAGGCCCACACAGCTTTCCCCCGCATGCGCTGCTCCTCACACACTGAGGGCTCCTTGTTTCATCTTACCTTGAAGCTGTTTGAACCTCCCCTCCAGCTGGTTGTAGTTGAAGGCAGCCTGGCCCGAGAATCCGGGGCCGGGGCTGGACCCCCTGACGGGGCTGAGGCTGGGGCTGGGGCCTCGCCCGGGACTGGCGACGTGAGACGGGCCGGGGCATCCGGACCCCGGGGACAGGGGGCCGCCGTAGTCTGAAGTTGGGGAGAGGGGTCCAGGCGCGAGGGGGCCGGGGAGGCCGGCCGTGGCGCTCTGAAGCTCCATGATTAAACTCCACAGAAGACTTAGATGGAGCTCGTCCACATGGAGCAGAAAGTTTATAAGTGAGTCACACAAGCCCGCAGAGGTTATCTCCCCCCAGGATGAGCTCGAGCTCCACGGCGACAAACTTCAGAGCCTCAACTTCTCTGCAGCAGGAGCAGCTTCCAGGTGACCACCGACTCCTTAAGAGTCCTTAGCACAAGAACGTAAAGTGAGTTTAAAGAAGTGATCCCAGTTTTAGCTCCGACACCGAGGGGAACGCTCCCTGCTCCTCAGTCGAGCTGAGAGGAGGACAGAAGAACTGCAGAGTCTCCGTTTCACTAGCGTGGAGCCAACAATCGCTGGCTCAGCAGACGCGCGGCGGCATCATGCTTCTGTTTTCCCTCCATTCATCCATCTGTCAGAGTCTCCGGGGATCATGCCTTCCCCTCAGTTCCACCCATCCTCCGTTCAAACGCACGCTCAGACCCTGCTCGATGAAAAGGTGGAGCAGACGGAGAAAGGAGGTGGAGGGAGGCAGAGAAAGAGTGGTTTGTCCTGCGGTGTGCAGCAGCAGCAGCTCTCAGACACTGAAAACACCTTTCAGCAGACGAGGCGAGAGTGCAGGGGGGAGGGGCCGCCAGAGGGAGAGGCTACTCCCACGGCAGCCAATCACAGTTCAGCGATGATGTCACCCACTCATTGGCATAAGGGGAGGAGACGGAGGAGAGCGAGAGAGGGAGAGAGCGCAGAGGGCCGATCGAGCTGAAGATTAAAGAGGAACTTTAGTCTAATCTGCAGCTTTTTATTGCAAATGTGAAGCAAAAACATTTGATTCTTAAATCTGTGCTTAAACAGCTGCAGGGCGCCGCCTCCACAACACTCATATTTAAATGATCCCGTTTATTTTGTTCTTTGCGTCATGTGAAAAAGGTCAAACTGATAAGATTAAACATTTACTCACAGAGCGAATTTTAAAGAGCCACAGTTCCCCCCCCTGGGAGGGGCAGACGCTTTCAATCAGCCCCAAAACTTTCACCATCCTCAGCCTTCAAACCCCAAAGTGTCCACGTCCCCTGCAGCACCGAGACCCTGAGCAGAAATCGTTTTCAACAAACCGAAGGAAGCAGCCGGGTCTTATCAGACAGTTTTAAACACAGGGATACGTGTTCACAGTAAAACCATCTGCTTCCTGTCAGCTGACCAGCTTCAGTCTGTGGTTCACGCACAAATAATAACGTTTTCCTCTCTGAAGGAGCAGAGATCCAACTTCTTTGGCGATGACGAGTAAAGACAAAGTGGACGTCACAGTGAGCACCAGAGATGGGCAGTAACGCGTTACTTGTAACGCGTTACTGTAATCTGATTACTTTTTTCAAGTAACGAGTAAAGTAAGGGATTACTATTGCAAAATCGGTAATTAGATTACCGTTACTTTCCCGTAGGAACGCTGCGTTACTGCGTTACTAAAACCGTGATTTTTTTTGCGAGAATGTCTCATGACAGTGACGTAAGCAAGTGCGACGTTGGTGACAGCAGCTGTGTGCAGATCAACAATGGATAATATATCGAGTGCGGGAGAGAGTATGAGCGTGCAGCGTTTAAAGTGTGGAAGTACTGACCTTACTTTGAGTTTGATTCCATAAAAAGTGACAAAAACATTAGCGTCCATCGTGCGTGGGAAGAAAACTTCTTTTTACAGCGAAAAAACCCCTAAACTTCCGAGCAAGCACCGAGTAGCTACGACGTGATGGGAAACTCACAGAGACACTCGCGCGGATTCTTCAACTGACCGCAGCACACCTACACCAGGGTAACCCTCCGCCTACCCTGCTCCTGCTTTACAGGTGAAAATAGAGCAAAAGGACCGCTGAGTCTTTGACTTTATTTATTTTCTGCTGTTTTATACTTGCATCTGTTTGAAAGAGTGAGTGAAAACACAAAAAATATTTTATTTTATGTGCTGGAATGTGTAGAAAATAGGTTTAAATGTTAAACTAATTTATTCAAGTCAGAGAATGTTGCATATAATTAAATGTTTTGCTTGATGCATAAAGTTAAAAGATTAAAACTGATAAAACAAGTTAAAAAAAGAGACTTTTCCATTTGATTACATTTTGTATGATGGATTATGTAGAAAAAGTAGAATTGGGCTGAAAGATCTATCACTTTATCACCTCTTCAGGTTGTAAATCGTGTTTTTAAAAAGTAACTAAGTAACTAAGTAACTAAGTAATTAATTACTTTTGAAAATAAGTAATCAGTAAAGTAACGGGATTACTTTTTGGGGGGAGTAATCAGTAATTAATTACTGATTACTTTTTTCAAGTAACTTGACCAACACTGGTGAGCACACGCCTCAGGTTCATATCCACAGGAACAAAATGACTGTTTCAGCTTTGTCTGATTTCCAGCAGCTCTCTGCAGATTTGACAAGTTGTTTTTTTATTTTGAATTATTATTATTGCTGTGATTGACTCTTTGCAGGTCCCAACAGTAAAAATGTCGCCTCGGCCTTCGTTTTGCTGGACCTCAGAAGCCGGAGATGCATAAATACATCATAACATTACAATAAAAAAAAACAATAAGCATCACAGAGGAAACCTGGATTAAACTTGAGTCACAATCAGGCTGCTGGGTGTTGAATCGATTATGTTGCAGGTGATTGTGCACGAACCAAACTCATAAACGTTTTAGAGCAGTGTCCAACTCCAGGCCTCGAGGGCCGGGATCCTGCAGGTGTTAGACGTGTCCTTGATCCAACACAGCTGATTCAAATGGCGAAACGACCTCCTCAACATGTCTTGTATTTCTCCAGAGGCTGGTAATGAACTCATCTTCTGATTCAGGTGTGTTGACCCAGGGTGAGATCTAAAACCTGCAGGACACCGGCCCTCGAGGCCTGGAGTTGGTCACGCCAGCGTTAGAGTGTGAACACACTGATCGACCACAGAGTCACACTTTAAACGCTGCGTCGTTGTTAGAGACACACACAGATTTTTGTTTTTGGCTAAATGTGGCTCTTTTATGATAAAGGCCAAAAACTGTGATGCAGACTCATCAGGTCATAATCTTCATACTGAGTATAAAGCGCACACTCAGCTGTGTGCACTGATTTGCACACACTGTTGCAGAGCTCCTGGTTCTGTTGTATTTAAACACGTTTTGGGTATGCGCGCCCGCTGCCCCGTCCACGCGCCCTGCACACAGACGGCGAGACTTCCTGGTTCAATCAAAGTCGATAAATAAAAACTTCATTGAGCTTTAATTTTGCTGCAGGTCACGTCTGATGTTTTGCAGTGGAAATTGCTGTTTTGCAGCAATTTCCTCTTTGGAGCTCATCTCCTAACTATAAATAAGGTGCAGCTTATCTCATGTCAGACACAGATCAAAAGATAAGTGCAGCGGTGCCCCGAATACCAGCGTTTTACAACCACGCACGTCCTTCAGGTGGACTTTGAAAAGCTGCACAAATATTCTACAGGTCGTGTGTCCAATCCAGGCTCATACGAGCCACCTGCAGCTGCTTCAATAAAGTAATACATTCAATAAAAACTTCTTCTTAAACTTATTGAAGGAAACCACATCACTGGGCTCGTGTGTGTGTGTGTGTGTGTGTGTGTGTGTGTGTGTGTGTGTGTGTGTGTGTGTGTGTGTTAGAGGGGAAAGACGGATACAAAGAAGACGGAAACAGGGTGGAGTGTGTGTGTTACTCCGAGCTCATCACTCACATGCAGACATTCAAACATCCTGAGAAACCCTCAGAGCTAATATTAGAGAACACTGTGGAGATGTTCTTCCTGTCCGAGTCCGGCCTGTACTTCCTGTTTGCTCCCACCGTCCATCAGTGCGTGCACGGACACACACACAGTCATGTTGTCATATCATTTTGGAGACATCTACTTGACGTAATGCTTTCTCTAGCCCCTAATCCTAACGATAACCTAACTGTAACCCTGAAACTAAAACCGCAATTTGAGTCTGAAAAATGCCTCAAACTTGTGGGAACCAGGATTTTGGTCCCCATTAGGGCTGTTGGTGCCCACAAAGATATGTAAACACACACACACACACACACACACACACACACACACACACACACTCTGCAGGTTAGGAAAAGGCGGAGGCTGCAGAGCTTGACTTCCTGCGTTACCAACTGGACACACAGGCAACATCGAGGAGATGAAAGGTCAAAGGTCACAGCACTGAGACAATACATGGAACAAATATTCACGTGACCCTGAAATAACTGCGAGCTCCACGGAGACGGGCGCGCGGCTCATCTTTGCACGCGCACATTTGTCATCCTCCAACGATCTGAAGGACAAAAACGAGCCCGAAGTGAAATTGAACTGCAGAGCCAGCCTTTGTTCTCCTCATTAAAACTCCACCCACAGGCAGGTACGCCGTTACACCTTTGTCAGATAAAACGAGAGCAGAGGTCACGCAGACAATGAGGCACAGAGTTCAACCGAGGAAGACTTCCTTTAAGACGGCGCCCTCTGTGACGACTCTAAATCACACCGATTATTATTTATCAGAGTTTTCACTGACGTACATCCTGTTTTAAAGATTTTACATGATCATTATTTGATATTTGGGGTCGTGCACTGGCTGCCAGCTGCCTGAGGCTGTCCAGCGGTTCCCACAGCCGTCTTCAGCAAACAGAAGCTCTGCTGTCACCCTCAGCTTCAGTCACTGAAGGCCATGACTTTCAGCCAAACGCAGCGTGTGCAGTTAGTGAGTTCAACAAGTGAAATGAGCGTGTCAGAAAACCCCCGAGTAACAGCGAGGAGGGTCAGCGCGATGGCCGACATCTTAGCCAATCCTATTTTACAGCCCCCATAAACATTTTCAAAATAAGCACATTCACATCTCAGCGCAGAGCCGCACAGATACGTTACGTAAGGCAATTAATCTCATTTTAATTTGTCTGATAGTTTATTTCCAGTCATAAAAGAGAGATGATGATTTAATGCTCGTCACTACAAAGGTCCCGTTTGGTCTCGTGCTGTTAATCAAGAGCAAGATCTATGATGAGGAAATAAAAGCTTCTGATCAAGGATCATTAGTGGCGTCCTGCCTCGTCGTCTGTGCCATCAAGTCTTTATAGCTTTAAAAAAAAAAAAAAAAAAAAAAAGAAAAGAAAAAAAAAAAAGAAAAGTGGTGTTGATGAACGTCAAGACAAGCTCTTCCTTACTTCCTGTTCCAGTGGCAGCTCTTCATAGTTCTTAATAGCGAGTAATCCCTGGGAGCTTAAAGCTGCTCTGAACACTCAGTAATCCTGTTTTTTTCCCCCTACATGGATCTGTGTGACATCATAGGGAGGAGGACATCCCTAATATGGTCATATCAGGTACCGACGCTCCACCCATCAGATGTTCAAATTAAGGGGCAGCCAATCAGAAGAAAGCCATGTTTAGAGGGAGAATTTAAAACTGCTATTTCACCCGAGGGGCCGCAGCGAGACACAGGTGGATTATTTTGAACTGTTAATCATAGAAAGCTACTCTAGGAGAGTCCACAGAGTCAAAATAAGCAGAAAAAGGTCCAAGCTGAGTTATTATAAGTTGAGATTATTGACCAAAACAATCACAATA